GCCAGCGAGTGGTTGTTATTGGCAGTTGCTACCACTCGTACTATTGTCAAATGCCTCCGCTCCCCTAGTTATTTATGGAGAGTGTTTTGACTTTTAACTTGGATTTTTAAAATACGAACAAAAGCTTGCGCAAGTGCCGATGCGCTCCAGTGTCACTGGGACTTCCCGGAGACGGTCCCGGCGTTTCTGGTAATATGCAAAGGTCCTAGTTGTGTGTAGCAGCTCCAGAATAATGCTTGAATCGGTGCAAGAACATTGAAATAAAGAAGGATCGAGCAAGGGCGTGGCTGTGCTGAAAACGAAAGCTTACATACCTGGAGGGGAGCAGTAGGTGCTTCTCGTTGCTGCTGCTACTACTGCTATTTCTTTCATTGCCGAGGGGCGGCAACTCGGGCGTCGGTTCATCTAAATGAAATGTAGCTCCCGGATGCTTATCATCGCCATCACGATCACTACGTTATTGGAGGAGCAATTCGGAGAAAGCCTATTTTGCTACGACTCATCGACGCATAAGCCTAGTTTCCCACGCGAATGCGAACCAAAGAAAAAGGTTTGGTTTGGTTTATTTTATCAGCTAAGTAATTCTGTTTACTAATTTGGCACTCTTACTTATGATTCTTTGTGAAACTACCTCGTCCGATTTTTTTTCCAGGATTACTTCCACTGAGAATTTGAATTACATACATATTTCTGTACTCCCGGCTGCCCATAATGTTTGTATTTTACATGTATTGCCAGCGATTTACTGATAATGAACAAAGTAAATTGTTGCCGATAAATGTGAAATAAATAAGTTACGAGGAATACTTCGGAGGGATTACGGGAAATATAAAAATTTAAATGTAATTATTATTTTATATCTAATTCGTCGGCAGGCACGCACAGTGAGAAGTGAACTATGTTGAACAATCAGTCGAGCTTTTGGCTCTAGTGGTGAGATAACCCAACGCTCTATGACGATTCGTTCATTTGTTTCGCTGTTAAACTGGTACTGGTATATGCCAGCGAGTCCAATCCGTCACCAGCTTGCTTGTAAGCAACCTTCGAATGAGGAAACTATCAACAATCGTGCCAGCGGGTGATCGCTACTGGCATTTTCTGCCGGTCACACTCCTTTCCATTTGCTCTCGCTTCTCACAGACAGTGAATGCGAAAGAGGTGATCAAGTGAGAGAGTAAGCTTGAGCGCGAATATCATGCTGGTAGCTTCCAACGTCGCCTTCCAATAAATGGCACTAATGCAAAGCTTATTTACATTTATCGAACAGGCAGTAGATGTTAACTGAGGATGTGTAGCTCAAGATCGAAGGGCCTAACATAACAACGCCTGGCAAGTGGAAGCAGCCCAGTAACGTTCACGTTGAACGTCCGAGTGGTCTTGTTTATTATTTTCCTCTTAGCAATTTAAAAAAAAGAAAAAAAAACCATCATGAAGCATCAGATAAAAACCGAAACGTTCATTACTGTGATGCGCTTTATTATTATGAAAATTTTAATTTTCAAAAAGTGCTTAAAAACAGTGGGATTCTGCTCGCATCAGTGTGGGCAATGTAAACCTTTTCTAGTCAAAAAGTTATGGATCCATTAAGCCATTAGCTACGTATGGCATAAACATGGCTTGCTAGCTACAAAAAGTACATATGAAAGCGTAATTTTCTCCTCAACATTTTTCATCATATTTGCTTCTAACCAATTGTTATTCTCGCTTTTGATGTATGTCCAACTGAATCTGACCGATTAGTGTGAAGCTGACTTGAAGCATTAACAGAAATTTTGAACCAGGAATCTGCTTGCTGTTCGAAGTAACAGTGCCACCTGAAAACGCTAGAGCGCGGGGAAAACACGAAGCAAAAAGAGGGGAAACGAGGAGGAATGTTCTTTTCCCGGACCCTCTTTTTCAAAAAAGGGTAAATTTTCTAGTCAAAATGAAGAGGCAAAAGAATCAGTGCTATTCTACGTTGAGCTGCCTATGAGAAGCGATGGTGCTAGGAAATGGCTGCAGCGGTACCACTCTGATGACAGTAACTACCCTCTGGCAAAGCTGCCGATAGTGCCCTCTTTCGGCCATTGCGATCAATGTTTGGCAGCATCCTAGTAATACCACCAACATAAGAAATCTACGCTGATGGACCATGTGGTCTTGGTTCTCACCCTGTGGAATTTCCTGGTCAATTGCCGGAAATGCCTATGTTCCGGAAAATTCTCTCCTAACCATATCAATGATCTAAAGCACTTTTCTTTTCTGAAAACGAATTGCGTCATGAAAATTAGAGAAGAATAATTTGAAGGAAAGAATAATTTGAAAATCCTTCATTTTTGACGCTCTACGCTTGGATAATTTCATTTCCGGAGCATATCTATGTTAAGTAGCTTTAGCTGTCAAGCATGATGTTTAGTGGTAATTAGTATTACTCTCGTACTTTGAATCAAGAGCTGGCATCGCTACTGGGAAAACTAACTCTTTGTTCATTCGTTTTGGTACTGAAGATGTCAAAAGCCACGCATATATTTGTTTGCTTGTGAGCACTTCAAAAGAGAGAGCAATCGACATCTTTACCAACCAGTAGTTGCAATTGGTCCGCGCTATCTTCCGAGCTCATTCCACCTACTTCTGCCTCCGAGCTACCGAAGACTTTTTTCACACTGACTAGAAAATATCTACAAAAGCTTCCTCAGTTTGAATGTGTGACATACTTGCAGTATTTTTAAGCAGAAATCTAACTAGGAAAACTTTTAGACCGGTCAGCAGTGGACACAGCATATTAGAAAATAAACGTCCGCTAGGGCGATCAGCGGAAGGGTGATGCGCTCTTACATCGAACAAAGAATAATACAGCACAGGGTCATCGGATTTGAAACAGTATAACCGGCTTTTGAGAACACCCAATGGCATCATTAATGTGAATGCCTGTGCGATTTTGGTATTCTTGGTACGTATTAAATAATAGAGAGGAATATCATCAGTTATTTTAAAAGAGGAAAATTCATAATTCATCATGTATGAAAATACAAGCCGGAAAGCTTGCTTTTTTACATTTCTCACCTGGCTGCGTGGGCGATTTGAGATGTTGACAGTTTCGGAGAACTTTTTGTGTAAATTCAAAAGCTTAAAATGTCTTTTAGTTTAAAAATAGATTTAAAGGATTTAAAGGCTTCATTGCAAAAGCTGCAGGCTTATCAAGCGAAATCGCTCATTTTTTCCATGCCATTTGAATTTCAAAAGAATCTAACTTAAGGCTCTTTTAACAAACGCTGCAGAACAAACAAGCATTTTGCTATAAGAAACATCAGTGTTCATTAAATCGCAAAGGCGATGCAAAAAAAAATCAACAAGATTGCCAGGACTGCATGGATAAACGGTGCGGAGATCTGGGTTTTAGTCTGTTACTGAAATACTTCATGGACGGAGCTGTTTTTCCTGTATTAAAATTTAAAAATTATTGTTGTGCTTAGTTTGATCTTACATGAAATAGTCTCCAAAGAAGAAGCTTGCGCGAAAACTTTTTCCTCACCTTCTGAAATTTCTTTAAATTAAGGGCAAACTTTGCAGAGAAGAATGCTCTTTTTTGTTAAAATAAGTTCACTTCTATTAAAAAATTTAAAAAAAAATTTCATCCGTTTCAAAAACTTTGCGTGTAAGCGGCGCTTGCACAATCAGTTGGCTATTGCATAAGCAGCTGAAAAAGTAATTAGCGAGGCTGTAACTCATTAATGACAAACTTCTAAGCATTTTCGTTCTAAAAAACGATGCCTGCTTAATCATTCCTCTTCGGAGAATTTCCGCGGTAATATTTTCGAAAAGTCGATAAAAACAACGATTTAAGAGTTTACGCTGTTTAAGCGCACTAATACAACCCCAGGCTGGAACGCACCAGGCGAGCCGGTGCGATCATGCGTTTTTGCATCAAACTTTGAGGTTTTCTGAAAAAATGACAAAAGCAAATTTTTTGAAATGCAAATTCCTAGTTCACTAAAAAGTAGAAGTATTGCCGAGCGTTCGCTTCCAAAAAAACCGCGTTCATTTACATATACGATTGCGGTTAAGGTCCGAGCTG